ATTTGCAAGGTTAGTCCTCAGTTGAACTCTCAATTTTTGTAGTTTAATGATTAACGTTACATCTAAAAGTGTTAAAAGTTTGTTTGCTCGAGAACATTCCAATGTGAACTTGATATTGGGATAAAACAAACTTAAAAATGCATGTAGACTTTTTACGTTTTCAAGACGTAGTTCCAGATACCGAAAATGTAATTTATGTATCTGTATTATGTTTGCAGAGCAAGGTTTGTTTGTTTCCATTTGGCAAGGGCTTCTGTTTTTATAATGTGCATGAAAAGAACTACCAATACAACAGCTAATATATTTCCTATTGGAATTCCTTTACATTGTTTCAGCATAGCATGTCCAAAACGGAAATATATGTTTGTTAGAATAAAGTTTAGTGTTGGTTGAATGATCTGGAAAAGGGTGTTTGCTAGGTAGTTTTTGTTTCTGGTAAGAAAATGAAACTTATTACAACTTCATTACGCTCCTGGAGAGGAATAGGTGGATATAACAGTGCCGAGATAGGAGGGTTTGGGCAACCCAACTTTTCTTGAACAAGCATAAGTTTTGTGTTGTTTAAAAAAATGATAATAATTTATCAAAACAAGTTTCTTTAGTTTCATCAGTTCTTTTGCATAAATTCACATCTCTCTAGCTTTAATAAATTTGACTGACAAACAAGGACGCCCGCAGAAAAAAAAAATGAGGGGGTCAAGTAACTCAAGTTTGAAAAATTATGGAATCGAAATACAAATACCTTATGATTTTCCAATAACATAGAATGATAATTTTACATATCTAGTATTTTTTCCCTTTTTGAAAATCCAGGAAGTGACCCCACTTGCCTCTTCCTGCGGGCGCCCATGCTGACAAATGACCCAAGCTGAAATTTCACATATAACTGAGTAAATTAAATCCTCTTTATTCTTTCAACGATGAAAGCTATGTATTTTCATCTTTCCTGATGTTTTCCAATATATTACTGTTTTCCCGTTCTTAGCTAACTCACTCTCAGATTTCAATACATGCAGTAAATGGGATAACAAAACCATATAAAGGAAATTGTCGTGGAAATAATTTCCCATATTAACCTCAAAATGGAAACATAAAAGTTTAGATATCCACTCCCTAGTATATATCACATAAGATTCTCTTATTTTTGGAACATTACAGGGATATGTTTTCACCCAACATTATCCTGTCAAATATCGAAAAGGTTGATCAGAGTAAAAAAGGTTTAACATTAGATGAATTATTTAAAATTGAGGTCAAAACTTTACAAATACCTGTAGATAGCAGTTGGCATAAGATCACTACTATTAAGGCTGATCATTTGAAAAAAACAGTCAGTGCTAATAATAAAGAATAGTGATGGTCTCTGCTGTGCTAAGGCTATTATGTTAGGTTTGGTACATCTAAAAAAGCCTCCTGATCATAAATATATTAGTATCGACAGAGATCACTACTTATATACATGGCTAGTGAACTTCACAATACATGTAATGTTATGCCTGTCGTCTGCTGACAACTGTCCAAGTATTTCCAGTGGTTGTCCCTTCAAGCTCGTTGCCAGATATACTGCTTTCTGCTCCTTTGTCCATCCATTCATCTCTGCTAGGAGCTCAAATTATGCTCTATATGCTCCCCATCGAATTCCTGTGGCTTCCTTCGTACTGGATCATTCCTGGTACTGACATTCATATGTGGAATGTGACTTCTAACAGGACTGAAGAT